AGAGCCATTGATGGACTTACCCTCTATGAATTCATCCAGTTCTTTTTTGAAGCCTGTTATAGTCTTGACTTTCCCAACATCCTCTCGCAAGGAGTTCCAGAGCTTGTGCATTGTGTGAAGAAATGGTATACTTGGATGATAGATTCTAAACCTAGTTAACTAATTAAATAAGCCATAAGGATTAGCCAAAATGAACTTTTTTTTTCTAGTAACATCCAACATAGTAAATAGCTTAGGAATTTTCTTGTCAAATCACACTTATACTAAAAGACAGAGTCTTGAAGAATGATACATTGCAAATTGGATTATTTAAGTTACTAACCAGTTGATCCACTCAGCCATATCCACATCAATAAGCCATATCCACAGCCCAATAAGCAGTTTTCCTTCTTATGTTTCATTCTTGCAACTTCCTGGCATCATCATCTTGCACTGCTTACACTTGACACATTTTCTTTTCTTTTTTTTACCCAGGGAATTTCTTCAAAATATTTCCAGAAAATCTCTTACTCCCAGAAGCCATGACAGTTTTTCAGTGGCAAAAGTGTGGGAGAATATAGGAAGCTGTGTGTACTGAATAATGTCTTCCTTTTTCCTTCCAGTTCACTCCACTGTTTCTTCCTGTGTTGTCTTTTCCTATATATTCTCTCCATCTTTAACACAATATCTTAATTAACTTCTCCTCTGTGCTCAGCTATGGTTCACCACCACATAAGCACAGATCAAAAACGATCCTATCCAGCTTATGTCTTTCTTTGAACATGTTACGTTTTAGTCTGCTGAAAAACAAATTGAAAGCCTAGATCTTTCAAAAAAAACAAGAGCTGGTAGTTACGCTAGACAGACTAGAGCAGGGGTGGGCAATAATTTTTGACCGGGGCCAATTCAGAAATTTGTAAAGTGGCCCTGGGCTGCCCTGAAAGGGGCAGGGTCTCAGGTGGAAGGGGTGGGGCCAGGACACTTCCCTGTTTCCCCACCGTGATTGGTCTGGGAGCGAGGGAGCATTCAAAGACTTTGCCCCCCAGAAAGAACTTCAGCTTTTCTGAACAGCTAGCGGCTCCCTCTAGGTACCCGGGCCCCTGGCAGTGGGAGGAGACTTCATGTGCTCTCCCCTGCTGCCCCCCGGTCAATCAGGGCCTGGGGACAGTGAGCACATGAAGTCTCTTGCTCCCTGCCCCTGCCCTGCAAGGAAGTGCAGTGCTTAGTCAACCAACAGCTGAGCAGCAGCTGGTGGTTGACTTTATTGTTGAGCCCCTTGTAGGGTGGGAAGAGACTTCATGCACTGCCCCGGACCCCAAGCCCTGATTGGCCTGGGTTAGGGTTAGGGAGTGCACAAAGTCTTCTCCTGCCCTGCCCCCATCCTGCAAAGAACGTGAAGCACTTAGAAGCGCCACGCCCTTTGCAGGGCAGGAGGAGATTTCCTGTTCTTCCCACCCCAGGCCAGTCTTCTCCCGCCCTGCCAGGAGTGTGTAGCACTTAGAAGTGCTGCATGCTCCTTGCAGTGCGGGGGCAGGTTGGGAGGAGGTTTTACATGCTTATCCCCTCCTCCCCGCCCCTGTGCTCTGATTGGCCTGGGGGGCAGAGAGAGTGGCAAGGTCTTTGTGGGCCGGATCAACTTCTTGGTGGGCTGGATCTGGCCCGTGGAGGCCTTTTTGCCCACCCCTGGACTATAGCCATTAATTTATGTAATGAGACTGTAAGTGTAGGTTTAGCATGTTTGTGATTTTTAATTATAAGTGTTATTTTAAATGAGAAATATAGTATTTTATTGATGTATTTAAAAAAATTGATTTAAATTTAATCTGATTTTTGTTTTGGATTTCAAAAATTAATTGATTTTTATCCACCCTGATAATAGGGCATTAATAAGCTTGAGGATATGTATAATTCACAGTAGAAAAATATTAGTTACTGTTTTTCTTTTCCCTCAACGCCCTATATGATCTTCTGTTTTCTTCTGTGCTTTCTTCCTATTCCTCACTATTCTTTGCTTTTCCTTCGGTTCTTTTACTCTCCTTCCTCCCTCCCTCCCTCCCCCCCGACCTCCTTTTTCTTCTGCCTGGCAAGCCAAGAGCTGTGCCATAACCTTTTAGATGTAGAGCTAGCTGCAGAGTAAAATAGTCAATGATACAAAACTCCCATTTCCATATTTAAAACACATCTGCATTTTCATATGTTGTTATTATATGATGGTTGCTCCTTCTATTTTGTTATCCAGCTGGAGTCCTCCACTCAAGGCATGTCTGAGAAGATTTTTGATTGGAAGTTTTGGCAGAGTGCCATGTGGTAGGGGGGCCAAGAATGCATGGCAAATTAACATTAAAAGTGCTTAGATGGAAAAGTTGATACTAACAATCTTGGTTTCCCGCTTGCTTATTTCTGATCAATATTTTGGTCTTGTCTCTGTATTTTATCTAGCAAGGAAATGTATGTGGCAGTTTCTTGTCTCATGGCCTCCTGCTTTTTTGATTAAAATGAGTCCGAATAGAGAATTTATTTTAAGGCTGACTTCTTTTCTTTGATTGTACTCTTTGCTGTTTATTGCTTTAATTCTGGATGAGGTATTACTGGATTTTCAGTATATGTATCCACAGTGGTTTGATGTACTATGGCCAAGGCTTACAATGAGCAGTGCTTGTTGTTTTTAAAGTTACAGGCTAACACTGCTACTCCTCCACATTTTACCAGTCTGTCAAGGAGGTCACAGATTCTGTGATTGATTTTCATTACCACTGCAACTTCAGGACTTGGGTGGTCAGTCCTGAGTGGTGAGGCTGAGGCTCCCATGAATTCTTGTTTATTTCCTGCAACCTATATATAACTTTTACTAAAAAATAACTATGACAACTTCTTAACCTTAACTATGGCCTCCATCTCTTGAGTTGTGGTCTGCTTTAGCTTTTGAATCTTTCCTGCAAAAATCTTGCCCATTTTACCAACTCATAATTTTTCAAGACTTTTCCTAACAAGCAGTATTACAATTTTTACTTTGTTATACTGGTAAAAATTAAGAAAATAAATTGCTGAGCTCCAGTGAGACACCCTGGGTATCTGTATTGAAACTGAGAGCATGCTTCCAGCCCTGATAGACAGATATGTGCTAGCTTCACTTAAGCTAGAAAACTGTATAGCAGTGTAGATGATGTGGCACTGGTCAATCGCCTGAGTTCAGACATTCCTGATCCCCTGGGTCTGAGTTCAGTAGCTATTAGGGATGTTAAATATCGGTTTATTGAATAGTCGAGTAACCTCATGAATTCTTATTCGTTAGTTGACTATTCTATAGTCCCTGGGGACAGGGTGGGCAGCAGTGCGGGGTACCAGTCAGGAGCTAGTCTGCAAGGAGAGCCAGTTTAAAAACCAGTTCCTCTTGAGGACTGGCTGCTTGTCGCCCTCTGCTGCTGCCTCTGATAAAGAGGCAGCAGTATGGGGTCGCAGCAGTCCCTGTCTGTGGTGGGGGGTGTGTGAAATCCCAGACCCAGGGTGAACTGGAACTGAGCCAGGCTGCCTACCCACCTGGCTCCTAATACACTTCAAATGCAGAGCCACAGTGAGGATAGGTCCTGGACCCAGCATGAGCAAGAACTGAGCCGGGCTGCAGGCCAGCCTGCTAAAAAATTTACTGGTTGGGGGGAGGGGTGGAAGGGAAACGTGTGTAGTCCATAGCATTAACCTATAAGCTTTTGGTCATCATTTAATCGGATAATTGACTACACTATTACATCCCTAGTAGCTATCATGTTAAAAATAGAAGAAGAGATGTCCTTATGGTACTGGCTAGCCACCTGAGCTCAGATCTAAGGCGTTCTCAGATCTAAGGCATTAGGCATGCCTGGCCTCAGGTGGTTAGCCCATGCCACAGTGCACGCTGTTATTGTTAGCATACTAGCTCAAGCGGAACTAGCACATATCTGTCTACTGAGGCTAGAAGGCATGGTCCCAACTTTAGGGTAGATGTAACCTTGGATATATCCTCCTTCCCCTGCCTTCTCCCTGCTTAAAAAAATCCTACCCCAAAATCTAAAAACACCCCACAAAACCAACAGGGCTGACTTTCCTATTCAGTTTTAAGGAGGATGGGTGCATGCTGGTAAAAAAATACTAAAACAGTTGAAGTTGTAATTGCATAGTTCTATTTGAATTTAATTGTGAATGGCAATATTGTGTTGAAATAATTGATTTTTAAAAAGCAAGTCTGAAGTGGGAAATGACAGTTCTGTGTATTACTAGTAGGGCACTTGAACCCCATGATGTTTCAGAGTTAGTTTATTTTAGTTATGTTGGACTGATTTTCACAAATGAGAAACTGAATAATTCTTAAGTATGACAGAAGTTGATCCAGTAAAAAAAAGTTACCTCACTCACCTTATCTAATGTGCCAGGGTGTGTTGTTTGTAGGGGAGAAGAGTTCTGAAATAGTTCCTCTCTTATGCCAGAAACTACTTTTAACCATTTAATGGTTAAATTTCTTTTTGTATTATAGTTCCACGTTATACTGAAACAGTGTTAAGAATATAATAGAATGACAGTGTAATCAGGTACCTCTGCTCACAATTCATTCATAGCATTGAGTACACACAGAAAAGCTAATATAAGAGGAAAATACTTTTCAAGTCAGTTTATTCTTTTATTTTACGCATGTTTAATATATACAGGCAGTCCCCGGGTTACATGGATCTGACTTACATTGGATCCCTACTTACAAACGGGGTGAGGCAACCCCGCACTAGGTGCTTCCCCCCAGCAGACTAGGGAGATGCGAAGCTAGTGCCCCTCCCCCCCCCAGCAGACCAGGGAGATGCGGAGCGGCTTTTCTCAGGAGACACCTCAGCTTGAGAATAAAGGACTGAGGGAAGTGGGGTGTGGGAGAATAAAACAGCTCTGGAGAAATGTTTGGCTAGAGTTTCCCCTACAATATGTACCAGTTCCGACTTACATACAAATTCAACTTAAGAACAAACCTACAGTCCCTATCTTGTACGTAACCCGGGGACTGCCTGTACACAGTCTTTTAACACATGCATGTGTCTTACTATTTCAAAGGCAAATGAAAAGGCTTATAGTTCCAAAGCATAAACTTTGGAAAATATTTGATCCTTATTTTCATCTATGCTATCATTATTAGTTGAAACAGTCAAGAGAAACACATTTTTCCTTATGTCTATATCTATCCTGCACTGACTTGAGGAAAGGTTACCAACACTCATAAGTGCATAAATCTTTTCCTTGGTGTCACAGAAATCCAAATACTTTTTTTGAATGAACAGCTTAGTATAATTAAGATTTCTTATTCTTTTAATTTTTTTGTTTTTACTTATCAGAAACTGTCATGAAAGAACTAATGATTTCACTGCATTAAAACTCATGTTTCAGTTTAGGTTACCTGTTTTCTGGTATGGAGGGTGAAAACCTGTAGTTAACACATCCCATAAATGAGTCAGAATGGCATAAAATGTATTCTTCAGTTCCAGATTCTAAAACTATCTCAATTAAGGAACTAATTTACATGAAAGGGATGATTTTAGACAACTGTGTGACACAGTATTTTTAATTGCATTATTTTCTTTCTCAGAATGTGATCTTCATGGTGTGCTGGAGGGGAGTCTGAGTTTTCAACCACCCCAATGGATGCAGAGAGTGATGTTGCATTGGACATTTTAATCACAAACGTAGTGTGTGTTTTTAGAACAAGATGTCATTTAAACTTGAGAAAAATTGCATTAGAGGGAGCAAATGTGATCTACAAGCGTGATGTTGGGGTAAGGATTGTTAACATATCTCAAATGCCAAATTAGACTAGCTTTTATGCATGTTTATCAAAATAGAGCTCTATCAATATCTATACATCAGAGACAGTTGATAGTGTGAATTCTATAGTCAGTATAGCAGAACTGTGTTTAGAATAGCTGGATTCTCATCTCTTTGACTTCCAATTTCTTTCTTGTTCAGGCTTGCTGGGTTTGTGTCTGGTCATGGATACTAAATTTGAAAAGACAAATGTTGTAGTGCTTTGAAGGCATAAGAAAGTTTGTGAAATTAAATCAAATGCAGTTTTTCTGGTGCACACTAGGGATGTAATAGTGTTGTCGATTAACCGATAAGCAAAAGCTTATAGGATAATGCTATAGAGTACGTACATTTCACACACACACCCCACACACACACACACACCCCACACACACACACACACGCCACACACACACACACCCCACACACACACACACACACACACCAGCAGTAAAAAATTTTTAGCATGCTGGCCAGCAGCCTGGCTCAGTTTTGGCTCATGCTGGGTCCAGGACCTATCCCTGCTGTGGCTCTGCTTTTAAAGCGCATTAGGAGCTGGGTGGGCAGGAAGCCCAGCTCAGTTCCAGTTTGCACCTGGTCCGGGAGCTCAGACCACCCCACCACCTCCGGACAAGGGCTACTGCCACCCCACATTGTTGCCTCTGATAAAGAAGCAGCAGCATAGGGCAACAAGCAGCCATTCTGCAAGAGGAGTTTTTTTATACTGGTTCCCCTTGCAGACCAGTTCCCACCTGGCACCCTGCACTGCTGCTGGCCCTGCCTCCAGGGGCTATAGAATAGTCAACTAACCGATGAGAATTCATGAAGTTACTTGACTATTCAATTAACCAATATTTAACATCTCTAGTGCGCACTTGCCTTATATTAAACAAGGAGAAAATCTTGTTAGGTCATCTAGTCCATTGTTTCTCAAAACTTTTTGTTACCAGAGACTGGTTTGCTGCCTTCCTAAATTTTGTCAGGGAAATTTCAGGCAGTAGCAAGAAGGCTGCCACTAACGGGTGATCTAGTCCATCTTCCTGCCCATGCAGGGGTTAGTTGGATTGGCCAGAAAAATATCCATTCTGACATGCCAAAAACTTGTCTTGAATCTTATTTATATAACCCCGTATTGTGGTTGTGCACATAGATGTGCAGGAATAAAGCAAGATGGAGGTCACTGTCCTGAAAAGCTTAATCTAATGTGTACAATTAGCTTCCATATCTAGGTAAGGGGAACAGCTTGTTAGAAAGCTATTATGCAGTCTTTTGTTTGTTAAATCTGACTGGGTCAGCATGAGTGGTGGAGGGGAAGTGCATAAGTGATGGTCATTATTGAATGCTAGTCACAGAATGAGTTTGAGGTGCTATTTTGAAGCAAGATAGTGAGGTTGGTTTGAAAGACTGGGCAGCTTCACAGGTTAGAGGAGGAGAAAAACAGTGAGAAATCAAGGTCTAGCCAAGGAAGGGTGCTTGAGGAAGCAAAAGAAAATGGGGTCTGAAATTTGGAAAAACTGAAGTTGTGTAAAACTTTGCACATAAGACCAAGGAGTTTGTCTCCTTCACAAATTCAGTCAGTGGAAAGAGTCAGAGCAGTGACATCCTAATGATAGGAGATTATTTTAGCACAATGCTACTTGCCGTAAATATAGTTTGGTTTTTTTCAACAATTTCGGTTCATTTGAGCCACCAGGCAGCCAGTTACTTTAATACAGTACTTGCTTATTGGCTAAGATTTCAGGTTTATTTTGTTCTTATCAGGAGCTGATATTGATTTAACTTTTGAAGGCAAGTAAGGAACAGTCCTCTAGGCTATAATAGATTAGAAGAAATATTTTATTTGTATTACACTTGTTTTATCATTATGAAATTGCACATACACTAATACTTATTTTTCTTCCAATTCTTTCAGAAAGTATTAATGAAGCTTAGGAAACCTAGAATTACAGCGACAATTTGGTCCTCAGGAAAAGTTATTTGCACAGGAGCCACAAGGTGAATTTCCTCTTTTGTAGGAGAAGGAAAACATTGTTCCTGGATGAAACTCTTGTTCATGGCATTTGAAAATACCACTTATTTATCATGAAATCTACTGTAATATATATTATCAGCAGCTCTCATAACAACCACCTGTTCTAAAGGTTGCATGACTTTTATAGGCCATTATAAAGGCCTGTTTTCAGTTGCTGATAACTTTGCCAAACTTTAACAGCGGGCGGCAATTCTCTTTGCTGGATGTCTGTGTTGGCCTGAATTTTTTTTTAAATTTAAACTAAAACAGTTCACTCATTATTTCTGAGAATAACACTAGGGAAAATACACTGCTTTACCCAACTTAAAAAAAAAAAGTCTGACAACTTTTTCTTTGAATCTCTAGCATCTCCATGTTTTGGAGCAGGGACTTGAAACTGGAGTGTGGAGTAGAGGGGGTACTTTGTGGGCTAGGGAAGTGTTTTTTGCTGTCCCTGTGAAAATCCACCCAAATTTGGCCAAGTTCTAAAGCCTGGGGGAAAAAAATCTCCATTTGCTTCTTCGATTTAGCAGCTATATTCTCTGAAAAGTTGGTCTTCTCTTGGCATGCTGTGCCCAGAACTGAGCATGATTTTCCCTATAATTACAGCTCTGGGTTGCGCCATATCTGGATCCTGGCACCTGTCCGGGGAGCCTCTCTCTTTTGTGTTTTCCATGACCTTCTGCTTGGGACCAGGCAGTTGGAGCAGGTTGCCACCTGACTCCAATGCAGAGAGGACAAGGGACTGGATTGGGACAAAGAGCCAAGGGGTGGAGGAAAAGAGGGAGACTGAAATTGATGGTTGGTGAAAGGGAGGAGTGGAGTCTCAAATTTAGGGTCGGAGGGCACTAGGACTGGCTGGGCAAGGGGACTGAAATGAAACAGGGATCTGCAGACAAGTCTCCTTCAATACACAACCCTGATTTATCCCCAGAGCAGGTCTCTTCTGTGCACTGAATGAAGCAAGGATTCTGTGAAAAATATAGTATTGATCATGTAATTGTGAAAACTATAATAGAATACAGTGGTTCCCAAATTTTTACTTAAGCAACCCATCAGCTGTATTTTGCCTTTTTAGGGGACACATCATTACTCACCCTAACTCCCTTTCATCACCTTCTCGACTCTCCAACTTCCTATTTCTTGTTCCAGCTCCCTGCTTAGCTCTCTCTAGCACCCATGCCCATGCTGTTGCCCCATCTGGCCCCTCTCTTCCTGTAGCTAGGTCACAATTGCTACCAAGTTGCTGACTGCCTGATATTGGCTTCAGCTACTTCCTCCATGCTGCTGCTGCTGCTGCCCAAATTCCTTTTTCAGGATAGTCATAATGCATGCACACAAGGGGGCTGATTTCATATGTACAGGCTACCTCAACATTGGCATGTCTTCAATTGATTGTGCATTTTCATGTTCTTTATAGTTTGTATGTGATTACATATGTAAGTATGTAAATGTGTATATGTATACGTGTTAAAATTTTAGTTCTGCTTCAGTAACTATTAGTAAAATGAGCTGCTTGTTATCTCTCTGTAAATTATAGTGAAGAAGAAGCTAAATTTGGTGCCAGAAGATTAGCTCGTAGTTTGCAGAAACTAGGTTTTCAGGTAATGATCTTCCTTCTGATAACCTTCTCTTTTAGGGTGAATAGTGGTATATGTTTATATTTCTGTTGATAGTTGGTATCCTGTTTGGACCTTTCAGAACTGATAGTTACAAATGCTATAACAATTTCACAACCAATATTTTCTCGCTCAGATTCTTATTGTGTGGCAACACAATAAGTTATCTTGAGATTGCATTTCTGTAAGTGTATTTAGGGCTCCCACATGATTGTTCAGCATCATGCTTGCTTATCAGCCAATGAACAGAAATTTGTTTCAAGAGGTTGGGTAAAGTAGTCACCTTCAAATATAGATATATATGTATAATATATGTGTGTGCATATGTCCTCTTTATACTCAATTTGCCCCATCCATTTGTAAAACATGCTGAATAACGTAAATAGAGTTGTCATATGAAAAGAAAAAAATTCCCAATGGATCTAGTTTTAGGATAGTCATTACGGTAAATAGTTCCTAATTGCTACAAGCTTGATTTTTTTCTTAATGTAAACTAAAGCAAGTAGCTATCGTCTAGTTAGTTAGACTGTGCACTGGGACCAGGATTTACTCCTTAGTTGACACACAAAAAATGGAACTCATCTTTGCCTGAACTTTAGTCAGTTACATCTACTAGTCAGCTGCAAAGTATTCTGCAGGAAGTGACTTAGACTTGGCTGGTAGAGCCATTCAGTTTGGTGTTTGTTCCTGGAGCAGAAGGGCATGTAATGATGTTTTAGAGCTAGTATGCAATCTGTTGCTCTAATTTTAATTAATTAAATCAACCATTACATGCCTGCTAGTAAATTTGATAGACATCAGAGTGATGATTTGAAAGTAAGAATGGCCTCCTTCCAAGGCTATTCAGCATATAAAATGGCCACCAAATTTTGGGGGGGAGACAATCAATACACAGCAACTCTTTGTATCCTAAGTGCATGAAATCAAATTGAAAAACTGAGTCACATGGCTATAAAATATTAGCTATCATGTAAAAGTGATAATGGTGGAGCAGAATGTTGAATTAAGTCAGATAAAATATATGTTTATGTAAAGCTTTAGTGATGGGTTTATAGGAAATAAACACGTTTACGTACAGAAACAGATTAATATGGTTGAGTTTTATTTAAAGAGTGACCATTATAGGCAGAACACATGTTGATGTATAAATTAATACTGCACAAGCATTTCCATTCTAAGGGGTCATTTTCATCTGCTTGTAATTTAACTGTTCAAACTGAAATTTGGTAGGCTTATTCTCTGAATATATTTTATTTAATGTTTGAACAAAAATGGTTCTTCATTTTGTATTAAGAGTTTCAGGAAAATCTCTCACTATTGCATTGGCTTTCTGAACTGAGAGAGAAACTGTTAAATAAAATAACAAAAAGCTGTTAATATGAGCAAGCTATGTAATACCTCAGTAGGTTCTAGTAACATTGAAAACCAGACTTTCCCTATGTCATTTATTTTGGTATTTCATTAATAATTAGTTTAGTTAATTTTTAACTTAGTTGCAAGTGCTTATTACAATATTATAGACCATACATATTCATTCTAAATGTAATTGAGTCTACACAAAAAAGCAGTTGTGTTTATTTTTTGCTAGACTAATTATTGGATTACAAATATAGTTCTGAACTAAATTAGGTATTTTAAAATTTACCCTAATTCTGTTTGGATTTCTTCTCTTAGCAACTTTGTGTTTAACATGCTGGGTTTTATTGGTTGAAATAATCAAATTTATTCTTGTTCTCTTTTTCTCTCCAAAAGGTAATTTTCACAGATTTTAAGGTTGTCAATGTTTTAGCAGTGTGCAACATGCCCTTTGAAATCAGATTGCCAGAATTTACGAAGAATAATAGACCTCATGCTAGGTACAGTAGGTCTTAAGAAAACTCTAATCTTTTGCTTCAATTTTTCAGCTTTTTATTGGCAAATATAGAAGTACCTTTGACAATCTTTTCTGTTTTCTAGTTATGAACCGGAGCTTCATCCTGCAGTGTGTTACAGAATAAAACCTCTCAGAGCTACCTTACAGATTTTTTCAACAGGAAGTATCACAGTAACGGGTACTTTATGATGCCAAAATAAATATTTAAGTTACTTTCTTTCATGAGAGTTCAGTTAGACTTTCAAAGCAACAGAGAGACAGGCATGTCAGATTTCATTTGTACTTAATGCTGCCAGATAATTTGTCTTTCAGTGAAAGTGCCTGAATAGCTGTGGGAGAATGTAATACTCCCAGCAGATCAAATATGTTTGTTTTATACAAGTGGTGTAATCAGTTTCTGGGAAGATGAGGCATAGAAGAAAACTGAGTTTATATTCCAGAAACACGGGATATTTGCTTGTTTAATTAAGGATTCTAAAACTTTAACCTGCTCATTTTTCTTCTGTATGGTCCCATAAACTACTGCTGTTCTAGCAACAATTCCTATCACAGGCATGCACCTTGCTCCTAGAGAGGCACAGTCAGTATAAAATGGCAACATAATCCTAGTGGGTGTTAGAGAGTGCTCTGTTTCAGGTTTTGGTTCTAGTCTATCTCATATTTTGGTAATCTTCTTCCTGCCCCTGGTTGAATGGAATATTACACACAACCTTGGCTAGAAACTTAAAATGAAATAAACAACTAAAATATTTGTGGTGAAACCAGCCATCTAAAGGATTTCCTTAGTTATTGGAACTTTTATATTGACTTTAGTTCTGAAATTTAAAAAAAAATCTTGGAAGCTGTATGCTGCCTTTCTCCTTCCCATCTATTTCTACTTGAAATTCTCTGCTCCATATCTCAGGAATGTTTTTACTATGTTTTCCAGATGTGCAGAAACATCAGCTGAGAGCACACACACCTGTTAAAATGGGGCAGGGGAGGAATGAATTAAAGATGCAAAAACTGAGGGAAATAGAGCTTTGATACACATGAGGTGGAATACTAAATTTCTTTTGATTGGAAATGATAGATAAGATACTGGTATTTAAAATCATGCTTAGGGACACTTGTATTAGGGGGAATTATGGGATCCATACAAATATCTAACATTTTATACAATATAATTCTTTTAATTGCAGTCATTACAACTAAACCCCACAAACATCCAAAATAGAAATCTACCCAAAATGTAAATGTTCCAGCAAGATAGCCTGAACTAGTGACAGCCAAACATAGAGAAAAATGACTTTTCAAATAAATGGGAAGCTTTAATGTTCCCAGAAGTGTAGCCAACTTATTGAACAATGATTTAACTTTTGCATTTGATAACAAGGAACCTCTGTTAAAAATCAGGAGAAATACTTTCTGTTAAAAAATGCGGGGGTGGGGAGAGCTGCAGGTTTGATGTAGAGAGAAAAAGAAATGAAGAAGCTTGAGGAAGAGTCATAAACTCCAGCTTTCCTTCCCCTAAAATGAGTACTGGGTTTCTGCAACTTTTCTCTTCTCTTTCTGAGCTAATCTCCACAATCCTCTGTCTTGCTGTGTAGGATCCCTTCCAGGACTTCAGCTTTGGGAGGATCACTATTGTCCTTGCAAGACCCATTTACCTACTTACGCTGTTTCTGCTTTTCACAGCCTGTTGGATATTACTGGGCATTGCTTTCTAGGGGTGTGTTTACACAGCACCCTAAACTCGAAATAAGATGCGCAATTTGAGCTAAGCAAATTGCATATCTTAACTCGAATCTATTTTGAAATATGCAATTTTGAAATTTTGCGCCTCTACATAGCGCCAAATTTAAAAATAACAAGCTATTTCGAGCCATCTCTTATCCCTCGTGCAACAAGGTTTACCGGGATGGCGAAATAGCAAGCCTGTTATTTTGAAAAATATTTCTGGTGTTCCAAAATAGCCATGCAGTGTAGACATATCCTAGAACTTCATATTTCTATAGTAGCTGACAAATTGAAATGAGTTGCAGTGCATTCAGTAGTGCCTGCCTGGAAAGCAGAGCATGTAGACTGATCGGCCTTGTATAATCCTCACAGAGTTTGAAATAGGAGAAGGACCCTCTTCCTCATGTATTTTCTTATTTTCATAAATGTGCAAAAAAGCACTAAAGTTATATTTCCTGAAATTTGTACATAAATAGGATATGCAAAGATTTGTGATCACTTTAAAGATCACTACTTCAAAAAGAAACATCTGAAATCCTCTTGTCTTTGCTGATGAAACCATTATTTCATCAAGTCTGGTATCCTGTCTCTGGCCATGGCCAATAGCTCATGTTTCACAGGAATGCAGAAAATCCTCCCCAAATTCGCTCAGCCAAACTGGTAATGTTATCCATGCAGCAGGGAAGGGCCCCAGCAGTAATCAGTTTATGCCATGAAACATGTGACTTGATTACCCTTGCTCTAGTTTTCATTTATGCAATTGTTTATGGTCTTAAAATTATGCAGGTCATTATATATTGTGCTATGATATTTGATATTGACTTTGAGAGGCAATGAATACAAGTTCTCTGAAATATTATTGTATTTATCTTTTTTTGCCTAAAATACTGACTATTTTTATTGGGTGTACGTCTACACTGCATGGCTATTTATGGATACTTCAGTGTCTACACAAGCTGCCCGTTATTTCAAAATATTTTTCAAAATAACGAGCACACTATTTCGCCATCCTACTAAACCTGATTGCACGAGGGTTAACGGATGGCTGTGTAGACGTGCCAAATTCAAAATAAGCCATTTCAAAATAGATTTGAGATAAGATATGCAGTTTGGGTACAGGAAGGAGCTCTGAGCTGGTGCAGAGTATTAGGATGCAGCAGGATGAGAGGTGTGTGGTTTAGGAGGAAGTTTAATATAGGAGGGTGCTCTGGTCTGGGGCAGGGAATTGGGGTATGCAGGGCCTGAGAGGGAATTTAGGTGCAAGAGGGCATTCTGACCTGGAGCAGGGGATTGAGGTGTGGGAGGGAGTGTGAGGTGCAGTCTCTGTCCAGGAGGTGCTTACCACAGGTAAGAACCTCCTCTCACCCCTGACAGGGATGCCTTGTGTAAGTGCCACTGCTGGACTTTTAGAAGATTGTAAGAGGATGGCCAAAGAGCCTCATATGGTGTTATAGCCACAATTGCCAGGAATCATGGCAGGTCAGACAAAAATGTTATACAGATCAGATGTGGCCCATGGGCTGAATTTTGCACACCCTTGGTTCAGATGATAACCTGAGAATGCTCCACATTTGAGGCAATAACCAGATCTTGGGCTAAAGATTTTGTCTTGAGATTGATGGCAGAGGTATTCAATAAACCAAATTACAAAGTTACAGGCTCATCAGGTTGTACTGAGCTGTCTAATTTTGTTTGAAAGACCTAGTTTAAAATCTGTCACTTACAAATAGTTTCCTTTGTTAGCTCAATGAAATGAGAAATTGAAATGATCATCATTTGCGGTGGGTATACAAGTTCTGGAGAACAGTAGTAAATCAGAAGGCATATGGTATGCTTACTAGCCCCCATCTTTTTCAGGATTCTTATATTCCAGTGTACTAGAAGGTAGGGATGTTAGCATATAGTTGTGTAAACAGGTAACAGAGAAGCCTAGGTTTTTGGTAAATCCAAATGACTACACACACTCTTCTCCCTTGGTGCCTCTGTATCAGAGGTGGGAGGCGGATGCTGGAGCCGGTTTTTAAGCAGCCTCTCCACGAGCAACGGAGCCTGTGGAGCTGCCTCTGATAGAGAGGCAGCAGCATGAACGGGGTGGGGGGCAGGCAAAAGCTGGTATACATGGGAAGCTGGCTTTCAAGCTGGATCCCCATGTGTACCAGCTCTGCGGAGCCCCCTACCTCTCCCCTTGCTGCCTCCAACAGAGGCAGCGGGAGGGGTGGCCAGCTGGGAGCTGGTGCTTGTGGGGCTCTGTAGAGCCATATCTTCTCCCTCCTCCCCTGCTGTGCTGCTGTATCAGAGGCAGCAGCGCAGGGGTGAGGCAGGTGGGACACTGGCGGACAGATGCTATTGCCTCTCCACACAGCTGCTTCTGTATCAGAGGCAGTAGTGCCTGATGGCAGGGGGCTCCCCAGGAGTGGGGCTGGGAGTGCACTGGCTGCTGGCCCTGCCCCTGGGGACTATCAAATAATTGTGTAACTGATAAGATTTGGTGCAGTTACACGATTATTCAATTACATTCTATCTAACATCCCTAGTAGAGAGTATATAATTTTTATAAGTAGTTTGTAGTTATTAATTTCTAATCTAGTCAATAACCAGTTTAAATGTCATTTTAGGCTCTAGGAGCTGCATATTATTTTCTTCCTCTAAGTACATAGCAGCTTTCTTGAATATGAAAAGAGGGGTGTCTATATTGTAATGTTGTTAGCTAATATATTCTGAATGTTTTTTGAGATATCGTTACATTCTTGCTTTTTTAATGCCCTGACTGTTTCCTCTCTCTTCTCTCCATTTATTAAATGTCTCAGGGCCAAACGTTAAGGCTGTTGCCAGTGCTGTGGAACAGATTTACCCATTCGTGTTTGAAAGCAGGAAAGAAATTTTATAATTCACCACTTAATGGTTAGGTTCCCTAACCAAGCACCTTTAAAGACTGCTGCACATTGGACTAAATGCAAAAAGGAAAACTGGACCAACGGTAGCTGAGGAAATACAGACTCTTTTACTTGTTCATGGCCACAGTGTAAACTCCAGTCCCTTTGGATTTTATTTTGAACAGTGCTGTATTGTAAAAACGGAAGTTTACAAAATATGAAATTGCTGCTTTTAAAAAGACATTCTATTTATTTTTGCAGTAATTTCTGTGTATTCATAAGCAGACCTGTCACGATGTGCACTACCTTTCAAACATTTTTTTTTTAGTTTGAGCTTGTGTTTTATTTGTGAATAGTCTTTTACATTTTTGTATGATGAATATTGGGCACCAAAGAAGCTGTAAAAGTTATCTTTTTCACTTGATGAATGTGCACAAATAAAAATTTGGAAAATAGCTCTCTTAATACTGTTGTTATATTCCTTTCCCCTTTTTCTATTACCATTAAAATTGTATAGTTGTGAATTAATTTGGAAATAATGTAAGTATAGTTTTTGCTGATACTTTTGTTCCTACTTTAGTGTGTGTGAGAGTGTGAGTGAAGTAATATGCAGAGGGCTAGACTGAAATCAGTGGTAGATGCATATAGTATATCAGAGGGCAGAATTTGGTTTGCTATATTCTTAGTTCTTTTAACTGAATGCCAGATTTTAACTGTTTTCTTGCTGTCATGTTGGAGAGACTATGCTTTTAAGCATGATGGCCTGCACTGCTGAGCTTTCATCTTTAGGTGATCGAGACAGCTTACTTCTGAAGAAGCCTCAGTAGAAAAATGAATAGCCCTTAAATATTGGCTGGGCATGAAAAAGGAGCCATCTTGTGAACTGATGACTGACCATGAAGAAAGATCATCATCTTGAAGCAAAAGCAATGTAATTACCATGCTAATCCAGTTCTAGGCTATATCTGAAGGACTAAATCCTATGTCATATTGGTACTGTATAATAGTATTACCCTGACAAGAACTTCAGCAAGCTGCAAAGCTTGGCTTTTGGTATCTAATTTCATTAGTATTAATTTTGGACTTGGAAACCAGTATTTATCCTCTTAATACGTGCACATATGGAACATAGGAAGGTTGCATACTTAAAATAAACAAAAATGTTACTTTTAAAAGCTACAATAAATATGTATAAATGTATATATGTCTATTTTCCCCTGTCTGAACCTTGAGAAATCAACATAAAGTGCACATTTGGTGCTGCAGGTAGTGTACAACCTTAACATGAGTCAGAAAAAATACTGTGAACTTCTATAGTACACTAAGTACATGAATGTGAAACAAAAGTAGAGCACCCTAAAGGAAGCATAGCAACCTCTCCTTTATCCTACATGTGGAGAGGAAATGCAAAGAGTTGGAAACATCCACTTATGTGGAAATGGTAAAGGAAGGGAAACAAACATTAAATACACAGTCAAGATTGCTAGAGGAAAAGAATAACCAGTACTCAAGACCGAATAGATTACTCGTAGCCTAAGGCATTATAGTGGTAACAGCAAAGGTGGTGTGTGAGCATAGAGAGCATGTCTATCTTTATAAATGCAGGAAATTAAATAGTCTAAAAGTCACTGACATTTTAAAACTGTATCTTTATGAAAATGAAAAAAAGTCTGTAGGGATATTGATTAAAAGGTAGTTAAAGGAATACTTGCAAACACAAATGGACATGTTTGCAGAATATCATGGATTCAAGGGTGTTCTGAACCAGGGCAATTATTTGAAAAATCAGAGAATGAGATAAGGGGGAAGCAAATGTGGAAGCCAATTGTGTCCATTACTGTTGAACAAATGTGCCTAATAAAATTATGTATCATCTAAGTATTTTATTGAATTTATAATACCAAGAAATTAAGCAGCTATGTATCTATCTAAACTACTTATCAAGTTCCTAGTATTTGGGTGCTTCACAGTTCTTATTTATCTTCACAGTGCACTTCTCTCTCTTGGAGGTAGTTATCTACCTCTTACAAATAAAGAGACTTACATATGTAATGCTTTAGGCACCAAAATCTAATATGCAAGTGCCACTGATACTCACAAAACTGTTGCTCCCTAACACTATAGTTGCTTAAGATCCCATAGGTACCTAAAGTTGTGTTAGTTTGAATGTATAGAGCTGTCTTGTTGCCATGTCCCCCTTTAATGAACTGATGGGGGCAACACACCCAAGCCTCAGGAGAATACTCAAGTTTTTCACTCATCTCATCTGTGGCGCCCATTAGCCATGCTCAGAGCATTGCTAGCCCCCATAAAACAGCTGGGACTCAACAACTTGTGAATTTGTGTGTCCCTGCTCAAATACCCAATAACCTAGTAATTGGTGTACTTACCTGAAGGGTGTGGGAGGGACTAGATTTAAATCCCCACTTTGCCTGATTTGGAGCAAAGATTTCAACCCAGGTTAACCAAATCCTAAGTGAGAACCCAAACTAGCTTTTTAGTATTTGGGGTAGATTTCTCTCATATCTCCTGTTACCCATGTAAGTACCATAACCATAGGGCTATAAAAAAAATCAGTCTCTTGTGTTTTATTTCCTTGTGGCTAATTATTTCCAAAGCGGAACAGCTGCAACAGAAGAGAGACCCATATCAGAATTCCCCATAATATGGTGGTCAGCACCCTTGCCTGCAGTCAGGAGACCTGGGTTCAAGTTCCTGTTCTATAGCAGGACAGGTAATGCTATATCAACAAGGCTATTGGCTATAGGAGTGAGGAGGATTTTTGTGAGAAAGGGCTCACTTTGCCTACATGCTTAATGCCAGACAAAGGGTTGCAGGTTCAAATCTCAAGTGCAGATTAGTTGCCTCACTACAACCTATCACTCAGGGACCTCAGGCCTGCATCAATAGGTGTTAGTACTGGAGTAAGTTGGCTGGTGCAGGGGCATTAGCCTCACACCTTTCCTCTGCATTTTGCTGCTGACTCGGTTAGATATCTTTCTGCTGGCTCCAGAGCACTTGACACTACAATGTCTAGGGCAGTGTTTCTCAACTTTTTTTTTTTTTTATAAAGTACCCCTTTAAAAAAAATTATCGGTAGCCTCAGTATCTACAGTTTTCAGACACACAATTTTTTTCTACCATTGCAACACATTTGTTTAAACAACTTAATAGTAGCAGGACGGGCGATGAAATTTTTGGGCGTAAAAAGTACAAAAATAATAGAGCGCTGTAAAACTTAAAACAAAAATTCACTTTTCTCCAAATTTCAGTTATGTTGATGTACCCCTCTGACTTCTCTCACGTACCCCTAAGGCTACTTGTACCACTGGTTGAGAAACACTGGTCTAGGGTACCTTGATAACTAATTCAAAGCAGACCTAGGACTTAGTCATGGGTGCTGGAACTAGGGCTGTAGCACCTCCTGGCTTGAAGTGGTTTCTGTTATACACTGGGGCTGCGTCTAGACTGGCATGATTTTGCGCAAATACTTTTAACGGAAAAGTTTTTCCGTTAAAAGTATTTGCGCAAGAGAGCATCTACACTGGCACGGATGCTTTTGCGCAAAAGCACGTATTTTACGCAAAAGAATCCGTGCCAGTATAGACGCTCTCTTGCGAAAGAAAGCTCCGATGGCCATTTTAGCCATCAGGCTTTCTTGCACAAAAAATTAACATTGCTGTCTACACTGGCCTTGTGCAAGAATACTTGCACAAGAGGGCTTATCCCTGAGCGGGAGCATCAGAGTATTTGCGCAAGAAGCACTGATTTTGTACAGTACAAGGTCAGTGTTCTTGCGCAAATACTCATGGCCAGTGTAGACAGGCGGCAAGATCTTGCCAGTGTAGACACAGCCAGGGTTTATAGTTTGGTTCCAGCTCCTCTGGTCTTAGGTGTTATTCCCATTGTGAATCTGGCCCAAGTTCATACAGAGTACATGTGACAGAGTAAGGACATGAATGCCAGACTATCTTATCTCAGGCTTTTTTCCTGATTACTGAACCAATTGTTCATCTCTGAAAAATAACTTGTAAGGACAGATTTTGAATGCTGTAATTTCTAAAATGGTTTGTGTAAAATGTGGCATTAGGGAAATGCATGATGGTATAAAGTTTGTAATGGGTTTAGTTTAGAGGAGCTGCATAACTCACTTCCAGGAATGCAGCAGTTCTGAATTCAGGTTGAGAGAGAGAATGGGACAATGAGCAGTAAATATGATGGGTGTAATCCTTCAGTCCTTAGCTGGGGTGTGATCTTTCAGTCCTTAGCTGCTGACAGAGAGTTTGGGGTACACAGCTGCAAGAGGTGGCCTTGCTTGCTGCTTTCTGCATCAAATTGTAAAACAATTGGCTGCAGTAAGTGAAGTATTTCTGGATTTTCATTAAAATTCTTTGAGGAAACAAAACATACTGGCTTGGATATTAGTAGTTACTTGGAGTGAAAGCTGACTGATGGAGTATGAATGAAGGTTAATGAAACAGCAATAAATCAAGATGGGGGCAGGCATAAAATGGGCTGCTCTAGTGATCCTGTCTTAATTTTGTTTAATATCTTGATCAAAGATCTAGAAGAGGGGACAGAAATGTGTGATAGTTAAATTTCCAAATAATTGCAAATTCAGAGGTTGTGTTAAGACAAAAGGCCTCCATGGTTAGATGTATAGATCCTTATTGTCCCTCTGCTTTCTCAGACAATTTTGGTTTTTGTGTTCCCCGCTCCCCCCAGATGCCTGATCAATGGGGAGTGTGAGGTGAGAACAGGAACACAAACATGTCCAGTCCTTAATGAGAGGACTCATTAAGGTTGGGAGGTAGCTGCCAGAGGAGTTCCTGAGCCCGTTGCATTTTGTGTATTTGTGGGGTGGAGAACACTTGCAGGCTATGACACCAGTATGAAATGGTATACAGTTATTCAGAAAGAGGTAATGGTGCAAAGGACCAAGTGGGTGATAGTGGAAAGTAAATTACATGAGCTCTGTAGAAAAAATGTAGTGTGGCCGTAATAATAAACCAATGTAGTTTTATTAGATTACCTGTATAGAGGCATCATGAAGATATAGAGGCACAAATCAAGAATCTAATGATCTCCTGCCAAATGCTATTGCTAAGACGATATCAAGAATGCTGCATTTATTCCTGGGCACTTCCTAGTAATGGAAGGATGTTGACAAATTGATAGCAATTTCCCCATCAAGCAATAAGAACGGCAGAAGAGGATGATATGAAAAAAGATAACTTGCCCCAGAGCTGATAACTTGCCCCAAAGCTGATTTCTTCACGTGTAATCATGAAGAGGGCTTAGAAGTCTGGCTGCTTAGAGCTTGGTGCAGGATCACTGCCTTTTCACAGTCTGGTTGGCTGTTTCAGGAGGGTCAGCTCAGCTCCACCTGTGATGCAGGAGCTATTCTCCTGCTTATCCTGACTTGGTGGATAGATTCCAATTGTTGGACAGCTGGAAAAGGAAGG